AGGGGGCACAGGAAACATGGGGACTTGGGTAAGGGGGTGAGGAGAGTAGCATAAAAAATATTTTCCACTCTCTAACCAAACACTAAAAAATATTATCTGAAAAAAGTTTTTCACCCACCAACCCAACAAGGGAAAATAAGTGATAAAACTATTCATTTTCCATGAAAATATTTTCCATGCAAAATATTTTCCTTCATACCAAACACACCCTATATCTACATGCCAGTATGCATATTGTATGTGAGGCAACACAATGAAAACCTCACGTACTCACACTTTCAGAGTACTCAATCTGACTGTCTCAATTCTCACTCATCACACTTAGTCACTCAGCACTATACGGTACCTGCTGCGGCGTGCAACCCGATCCACATATAACCATAAGGCCTGTTGGGGCGTGCAGCCCTGTCCACGTATAGCCCATAAGGCTTGTTGCAGCATGCAACCCGATCCACATATAGCCATCAGGCATGTTGCGGCGTGCAACCCGATCCACATATAGCCATAAGGCATGTTGCGGCGTGCAACCCGATCCACATATAGCCATAAGACATGTTGACGCGTGCAACCCGATCCACATATAGCCATAAGGCATGTTGCAGCGTGCAATCCGATCCACATATAGCAGAAGGCCTGTTGCGGCGTGCAACTTGATCCACAAATCTCACTCACAATACGACTCTCAGGCCCCAACTCAGTCATCAATCTCTCCAGTCTCTCGGGCTCACAAATCTCATGCCAATTAGCCCCAAACAATGATATATAACACAACAATAATAGTAACAGAGACTGAGATATGATATGCAAATGATGGATGTGGCTGAGTATAGAATTGCCATCTAAGCAAATGATTTAACAGCAGAAATGACCACAATGGGCCTCAACAACATTATCATATAGACTAACATGATTTCTAACATGAATCTGCAGCTCAATTACTCTAACACATAGAGGTCACATGAATGGCTAAAAGGTCTAGTGACGACATAGTACCGTGAAATCAATCGGATCACAATTTTTATGGTGCACGCCCACATGCCTATCGCCTAGCATGTGTGTCACCTCAACATCAATCTCAGAACACGAAATTCAGGGATTTGTACCCTCAGAACCAAGTTTAGGAGTGTTATTTACCTCAAACCGTGCGAATCTCTACTCCAATAAGCCCTTGCCTCACAAATCGGCCTCCAAATGCCAGAATCTAGCCACAAATAACTCGATACAATCAACACAAGCTATAGGAATCAATTCCATATGAAAATGCTAAGTTCTTAATCAAAAGTCAAAATTGCAACTAAAAAAGTCGACCCCGTGCCCATATCTTGAAACCCAAAAAAAGTTACAAAATCCAACCAAACCAAATTTATGAAATTCTGACACCAAATCGTCATTCAAATCCCTAAATTTTACTCTCCAATCCCTAGCCCAAAACTCCCGAAATTCCACCTTAAAAACACATATAATAGGTGAAAATTTCAATGGGTAATCAATATTATTGAATAAAAATGATCAAAAGTGGCTTACCTCAAGAAATCACTCGAAACCTCTCTCAAAAATTGCCTTAATCTGAGCTTGTAAAGTCCAGAAATGATTAAAACCTCGAAACTCTTCAAATTTTAACACTGCCCAGTGGTTTCGCACCTGCGGGCTAGAACTCCGCATCTGCGATAAATATCCTGCTTCTGCGGAAATTCACTTAAGTCCACAAGGTACGCACCTGGCTCCAAGTTCCGCACCTGCGGAAAAGCTTCTGTGATCAGTCGTTCGCTTCTGCGAAGGAAGCTTCACTTACTCATTCTCCGTATCTGCGGAGCCTTGCTCGCATCTGCGGGCTCGCAGATGCGGAAGACCCCTTGCAACTGTGACACACCCTAAGCTATCCCTGGCTCCAATTTAGCGCCACATCAGCCGCACCTGCGGCGTTGCACCTGCGGCTAATCCCCTCGCAGGTGCGATCACACCAGAAGGCAAAAATCTCAACAATGCTTCAAGTCCAACTTTTGATCCGTTAGCCATTCTGAATCCACCCGAGACCTCTGGGAGCTCAACCAAACATATCAACTAGTCCAAAAACACAATATGAACTTAGTCGAGACTCAAATCACATCAATCAACATCAAAAGCACGAATCGCTCCCCAATTTAAGCCTAATGAAACTAAGGGATTCCAACTTCTACAATCGATATCGAAAACCTATCAAATCGACTCTGATTGAACTCAAACTTTGCACACAAGTCATAAATGACACAATGAGCCTATTTCAACTTCCGAAATTAAAATTCGAGCCTGGTAACCACAAAGTCAACTCTCGGTCAAACTTCTCAACTCTCCAAACTTCTAATTTTCCAACTTTTGCTATTTCAAGCCAAAATCACCTACGGACCGCCAAATCAATATCTAGACACACTCCTATGTCCAAAATCACCATACGGAGCTATCGGAACTATCAGATATCCATTCTAGAGCCGTTTACACATAAATCAACATCTGGTCCACTCATTCAACTTAAACTTCTAACCTTGGGGCTAAGTGTCCTGATTCATTCCAAAACATTCCCGAAACTAAATCAACTACCCCGACAAGTCACATAGCAACAATTGAGCATAGAATAAGTAGTAAATGGGGGAAAGTGGCAACAACACTCAAAACGACCGGCCGGATTGTTATAGGTAAGTATTTATGCTCGGGGTAGTGTTTAGGCTATTTTATGCCTTAAATCAGTTGCTAAGCTTCATGTTATCATACTTCTTTTGTTGCACTCCCTTTGTGAGCTATTTGAATCATGTTAGAGATTGTTTGTTGGTTGATCTCTTTTTAAAACATATTAGTTGCTATTCTTGTGGTGCAGTAGCTTGACTAGAACTGTCATAGCATACTTCGCACATGCCTACACTATAGCATGTCACTTATATCAGTCTATGAGTATGTAAATTGATTTTCATTGTTCATGTACATGTATAATTGTATATGCTTTCTGTATGATATGGACTGGGTTGATAACACTTGAGTGGTCCATGCGGATCTAAGTTGTGCTAGTACGCGAGATTTTCGTGCGATGGTTATATATGCACGTGAGTTGTCCGTGCAGCATATGGATAAGGATCAATCTCCCTAGGACCACCCTCTCATGTTTCTCTGTTGATGGTGTACACGCGGTATGAGGAAAACTGGTCAGTGTGTGTTCTGTTTATTGCATTTCTTCTCTACATGCAGTTTCTTTGGATGTATATATGTTTTAGTCGCATATCTTCTCTATATGGTGGATTGATTAACTGAAACAGAGCATGTTACGTTATCTTGTGCATCAAGGAGGCTTTATTTGAGATTCATGACTTGTTGCTATTATTGTTGTATACTTGTGAAATTCATGAACTGTACAGGTTATTAGCGAGTATCATCAATAATTCTTGCATTTATTACCTCGCGAAAGTTAGTTATGATACTTGCTGAGTACATGGGGCAGATTGCATCCATACTACACTCTGCACTTAATTGTGCATATCCAAGCGTTGGACAGAGCCGGGGTTAGCTGTGTTTTGTTGTTGTGATCATTTTGAGAGACGCGGTAGACTGCATCTCGACCGCAGTCTTGGCGTCTCTTTTCATTTCTATACTATTGTTTTCATTCAGACTGCACTTCACTTAGTATTCTAGACTTGGACTTCCGTTTTAGAGCTCATTACTCTATATTTACCAATTCTGGGGATTTGTTATGTATCAACACAGTTATTCTATGTTATTGGCTAAATAGACTTGTATTATTCTCGTTATTTCTATTATCTCGTTCCGCTCTTATTATGTTTGGCTTGCCTAGCAAGTGAGCTAGGCGCCATCACGACCGGTTGGTGATTTTGGATCGTGACACTTCGTTGATACTCTCTTATGTACAATCACAAAACTATCATATTCGTGTGATAAAAACCCGTTTGCTTATGCTATTTGTTGCTTGAATTTGAACTTGAACAAGCTTAGATTGTAGCTGTACTTAAACCGGAACTATTCTGCTTCAGGTTTCAAATCCAAGTTGGTATATATATGCCATTTATTCTCATTTAGGAAGTAATATAAGTTGTTGTAAATCTACAGGAGACTTTTGTTTCTTTAACGTCGAACTGAAAGCCTTTCAGTGAAAGGTCATCATTCTTAAAACAGGCTAGTCTACAGAAAATTTGTCTCAAGCATGAAGTTGCAGGCATGGAGTTTGAAGAGCAATTTATAACCGGGCGTGAGGGGGATCCCATGGAGCCATGATATGATCACGAGTAATTTCCTTGATTGAGCGACAACCACTTAATGCCATGGTTAGTTCAAGCTCACCATGGAGCATATGAAGTACTTTTCTCACACCTGCCTCCCCATTAACAGCCAACGAAAACACAACTGGTCTTCCAATCTGTAATGTAAAGGAGATATAATATTTAGGGGAAAAGATAAATTGATCATATGGATTCTGAAATCTATATTTCTTAAATTTAGTGGCTCATGATGTGCTGGTTCAACTTACAAATACAGCAGATGCACCAAGAGCCAATGCTTTGAAGACATCAGTGCCACGCCGAACTCCACCATCCAGAAAAGCAGGGATCCTGCCTTGCACTGCTTTGACAACCTGCACGATTTTCATTTTAGTCCACAGTTTATCAACAAATTTGCCAAGTGAATATCAGCGAGGCATCAATGCCGGCGCCAAGGAGTTGAGACAGCGAGGCATACACCTCAACGGCTAATATTTTCAATTTTGAAAGGTGCAGTATAAACAATAAATATAGCTGGAAACCAATGTATAAATTGTTAATGAAACGTCAAGTATGAATATACTAGCGATTAGCAGTTGGAAATTAGAAACTTTAATATAAAAAACAAATCACTGAAATATAAAATAGAGGTTTAAGACTACATGACAACAGACTTTTGAACTTAATTGACATTGATCGACATGGTTTTACTTTATGTGTGTCACTTAATAACAGCTTTTGTAATTCTTTCTACCACATACTTTTTGTTTGTGTCTAGTTATAAGCCTTTCTTCAATCAAATGAACGCTTTTAAATGCACTTGAAGTCCAGGCTGACCTTATCGTTTCTTTCTTCCGCCTTAAACAACACTGAGCATAGCTGCGTCGATGAGAAAGTCCTACATATGCTCATCTAGATGAAAGGAGAAGGGATAGCAAATTAACCTCTTCCAAGGCCGTTATAGTTGCAGGAGCATAATCAAGCTGTCGAGCCCCATGATTTGACACAATAATTCCTGCTGCTCCAGCTTGTACAGCTAACCTTGCTAAGCTTATCAAAACAGGAAAATAGTACATATGATTCAAGATTGTTTCAAGATAGAATTTGAAGACAAATGATGGCATTCACATGTTACGTTCTAGCATACCGTCTTCTGCAGTTAATTCACCCTTCAGTAGAATTGGCAAGCCGGTTATTGTCTGGAGCCATTTCACATCCTGGGCATTTTCCAAGAAGAGATTTTCATCAGTCATAGTTTCATCCTCCTTCAATTGTAAAGTTAAGCAGAAATTACCTTCCAGTTAAGAGATCGATCAAATTGGCCAGCAATATATGAAGCAAGTCCAGAGTCATTAGTCTACAGACAAAGTGCATAATCAGCAAAAACGTCACAAACAGAAATATTAAGTCTTGTATATAGACGTCTACATGTAAATTTATTCACCCTATCTATTTTTCCAAGATCCAGTCCTTCAAAGTTCTCCAGTGCCAAGTGAGGTGGCAAAACAAATCTGTAAGAGACGAAAACTGGACCAGCTTAGGATGAGGAACCAAATCACATAGTCAAGTGTTTCAATATGCAAACTTCCCGAAAGAAAAGAAGAAGAACAAAGTACCTGTTCTTGATATCAGCTTCTCTTCGGCCAAGCATTGGAGTATCAACTGTAAGAACAATTGCCTTGAATCCAGCTCTTTCTGCCCTTCTCACAAGTTGCAGAGCAACACTCCTGTTTTTGTACACCTAAACAAGTTAATTGTCAAGAATGAATCCAAGAGGTACTCGAGATGGAGCGAGTAGCATAGTAGTGTGATGGTTAGGTTAAAAAAAAACACATAATTATCTTTGAAGACAATTACATATAGTAATTGATCAATGTTTAATGAAAAGCTAACATAAACAATGAACAAACGCAACTCACATAGAGCTGGAAAAAGCGAATGCCAGGTCCTGTTGAAGCAACCTCTTCTAAAGTGGAAGTAGCCAATGAGGATAATGTCTAAAATTACCAAATGAATTTCCATTAGAGCATGGTTATACAGGTTATTACTGAAATAGATAGGCACGAGAATTGCAATAAAACAATATTAAGATGCATAGGTTTAGCCAATACTTATTATTTTATTTTTTTAGAAACAAAACAGAATGTATAGAGAAAATGCAAACCATGATTGTGCCAGCAGCTGATGCTGCTCGTGCTGTCGCATATTCTCCTGTATCAAAGTAAAAGTAGGACATGGAGATAAGTATTCATAGTCAGAACCAGATAGATGGTTACTTGAGAAACTTGTAACGCTTCGTAACAAATGCAACTATGCCGATATCTCAGTAAGGGAAAAATGCACAAGAGTGCTTATCATCTACTGAAAAGAAGGGAAAATTTTGCAATGTGCTTTTATTAAGGTCCAGTATCTCACAATAGCCAGTGCTATCCACAATATCTTAGTATCCAAAAACAGAAGCTGATACTCATTTTAATTGTACATTTCCTATTACTAACGCGATACCATATTCAAAAATAAAGTGCCATCAAACAATATTTGAGAATAAGCCTTCAATCGCTATACTGTCCATGAGATGTGATGTGCTTTCATATGTACATTGCATTATCCTCTCTTTAGTCCTGAGATGTCCTGTAGTCTCTGTATACTTTGCTGTCATTATTCATATGGGTATCAATACATGTATGTTTACAAATATACACTGAACATAAAAAGTAGGAATAAAAGATACCTTCAGGATGAGCCATTTTCTGCATTGCAATTGGTGCAACCATGAGGGGCATTGAAATCTTGAACCCCAAAACATTTGTGGTTATATCAATGTTGCTTACATCTAAAAGGATACGAGACCTGAACCTGTTCCGACGAAACACCAACAAAACAAGTTATTTTAGCAGTAAATTTTCTCGCTACAAGTGGGAAAAAACGAAGTTTAAGTGGGAAGGCATTGACATTTGAGACGGAGAAAGTAGAAGGATTCAACAGTATCACCATGCCTAATAGAAAATACTTACAATATTCTAGAAAATGCATTTCGATTCTCTTGGAGTGTCCACTGGTCCTCTGCTCCGGAGGCTTAAATTTAAATACCATCTTCGGTAATTTCTCCTTTGCGAGGTCCTCGTACTCCATAATATTGGTGATTTGAATCTCAATTTTGTTCACTGTATGCAAAATTACTATTACACTCAGAAAAAATCACCTTGTGGCATATAATGATTGGTATATACAACCACACATAACCTTCACGTAAAGGATGAATCTTACTAGAAAACAATGAATAGGAGATAATCACAAGAATCTCATCTAAAGGGACAGTTCAGTACAGAAATCCATTGACTCAAGTGACTATGGGACAGTGTTGGATGAAGCTTATTATACCGAAGGTAAATATATACATGAAATTTTTTATAAAAGCCTAATAAATAATCTCTCTATTTCATTTTGCATAAACTTGTTTGGCTGGCCACGAAATTTAAGATAGCAAGAAAAAGCTTTTGGAGCTAATTGTCTTAGACATGCTACGACAGTTTTGTAGCTACAAAAATATCATGTCATTAAGAAAATTTAAAGTTAAATTATTTTCGAAAGATAAAGAAAATAAAGTCAAATAAATTGGAGGCAAGGGAGTATTAGGTCTAATTAAGAACTTAAAAACGTTGAAATCATCAAAATGAAATATTGAATCCGCAATTAATCTACCGCAAAAGCTAGACAACAACAACATAGCCAGTATTATCCCACACTGTGGGGCTTGGGAAGGGTAGTGCGTACACAGATCTTACCCCTACCTTGTAAGGATAGAGAGGCTGTTTCCAATAGACCCTCGGCTCAGAAAAGCATAAGCACCACATTAATGAAAATATAGACAGGAAGGGACAGTACAAAAAAGTCATATAAAAGCATAATAAAAACAACAAGATAGTAAGATGATAAACAATGAAAGATAAAACAACAGTTAGTCATAAAAACTACTATCAACAGAAAGCGAGACTGCGTGCCAAAAAAGCTAGACAAAGAAGAATAATAGAGAAGGAATAACAAGAATAGACCTGGGTGGCTGTAAACTAGCTTGCTGGTCACACCAAGCAAAGGGTTGCAATTGCATGGGATTTAAAGGGCAACGAAAGAGAGCTGTTAGCAAATGTATGACGCATGCATGCCCCGAAATCGAAAGAACCGCGAAGTTTCAACTAGGCAAGAATACAAAAGCCACCAGAAGAACAAGATAATGTAGACACTAGAAAATCACCCAAAAAGAAAAAGAAAAAGAAAAATGAAAAAAAACAACTCGTGAATTGGGACAGTTTAACACAACAATCCAAAGATTTAAGTCACTAAGGGTGATTTGGTTACAAAGAAAAAAATTCAATATAAAATTCAGCAAAAAATAATACTTTCTCCGTTTCAACTTATGTTGGAATATTTGATTCCATACAGAGCTAATTAAGAAAGAAGATTTTTGGAATGTGTAGTCTTAACCTGTTATGATATTGTGTGGATAATGGATATAAAAAATTTGTCATTAAGCATACAATAAAATTTGTAAGTTTAAATTATTTTCAAAAATATATAAAGGTGACATTCTTTTTACAACATACTAACAAGAAACGTATATTACATAAATAGAGTAGATGGAGTATACTCTTTGGTTGTGGGATTTGAAAATATAAATTCTTTCATGAATAATGTATGGCATTTGGTTGGCAGTATAAGAAAAATAGTTCTCATATAATTATTCATCATTTGATTGGCGATATTATATAATACTCATACAATGTTATGCGAGAATATGTACATTATTTTTTTTTTATTTTATGCGGGATGGAATGAGGAACAATAATACACATAACAATACAAGGATAAAAGGTATTTACAGACAAAAATATCCTTAAAATAAGTAATTTCTACATAAAATATTCCTAGTATTATTATTCATTGCATATAACCATATAATAACAACAACAACTGCTACAATAGCTCAATCTCAAACAAATTGGTGTTGGCATTATTAATATTCATAGCATGCCGCTAACTTATTATTCTATTCACCTTATAAATAATAATCTTTTCATTATTGGTCACCCCATAACACCCCAGCATTATAATCGATTCATAATTAAATTTAAATATATGAACCAGCATACATAGATCACCTCTAAGAACTACTCCCTCCGTTCATGTGAACCTATTTCTTTTTTGGTCCGTTCAAAAAAGAATGACCCATTTCTACATTTGGAAATAATTTAGCCTAAACTTACAATTGCACCCGACAATTTTATAACCACACAAATACATTGGACCCCTTTTTAACTTGTTTAGAACCACAAATTCGAACGGATGGAGTAATGAAGAAGCTAAATACAGAAGAACAGTAGAGCAACAAACAAGAAAAAGACCTGGCTGGTCACCTTAGCAAAGGGTTGCAACTGCACGGGATTTAACAGGCAGAGCTGTAGCAAAATGACGTGTACCCAGAAGCTAGAAAGCGAAAGAACCGCGAAGTTTCAACTTGATCAGAATACAAATGCATTAATAAGAACGAGATAAAGTAGATGTTAGATAACTGGAGAGAAGACGAAAGGGTAAGGATGATTTAGTGGCTTACCGTTCATATTTCATTTGGTATTTGCGAAGAAATTGAATCCATTTTATACCTTTTTCCAAAAAGAAAAAAAAAAACACTTCTCCTGGCTATTTTATGAGATAAACTTCCCTTTTAATCTGCACAAAGAAAATTTATTTCTCTTTTTAAATATATTATTTAATCTTATAGCCTGTTTGGCCAAGCTTATTTTTGGCCAAAAGTACTTTTTTTTTTTGCCAAAAGCACTTTTGGCCAAAAATTGAGGTGTTTGGCCAAGCTTTTGGAAGGAAAAAAAGTGCTTTCGAGGAGAAGCAGAAGCAGTTTTGGAGAAGCGGAAAAAAGTAGCTTCTCTCCAAAAGCACTTTTTTGAGAAGCACTTTTGAAAAAAATACACTTAGAAGCAGTTTTTTAAAGCTTGACCAAACACTAATTGCTGCTCAGAAGTGCTTTTCAAACTAATTAGCCAAACACAAATTGCTTCTCACCAAAAGTACTTTTGAGAAAAGCACTTTTGAAAAAAAATACTTCTCAAAATAAGCTATTTTTGCAGCTTGGCCAAACGGGCTATTAATATCCTCATTTTTATCTCCAAATAATTCTACACAACAAAGTTTTCCAAACGGTGATTCATGCATCAACCTTTGGAAGATGAAATAAATAAATATGATAATTGAATAACCTCATTCCTCCGTAAAAACTTTGGACACCAGAAAAGCACCTCTATACCTTGCTTGAGAGCTACATATTTTAGAATTGTCTTCTAGTTCTACTAGCTGTCGGAGCAGTACACCCTATCAATGAAAATTTCAGTTTTGGTTCTCCAATAGAATAAAATAGCATTCATAATCATATGTCTACAACTTACAAGAGGAACATTATATTAAAGATAATTGGACAATCTGTAGGGGTAGCTAAAGCGCATGAACCTCCAATGTTGCAGCCAGGGGCGGATTTAGGGGTGCAGAAGGGGGTTCACCCTAACCCCCTTTGTCGAAAAATTACATTGTATATAATACAAAATTTATTTTTTACCTCTATATATAATATTTTGAATCCTCTTGATGCAGTCCAAAAACATGGCTTAGTGGTCAGGAAAGTTCAAAATCTTTGTAAGGTCATTGAGTCAATTCCCATTTAGCTATATTCTTTTCTAACTTTTTCCTTTTTTGAACCTCCTTAGCAAAAACTCCGCCTCCGCCACCGGTACCTGCAGCATGTATCTGAGTAAGTTCTTGATCTCTCGGGTTCCCTGATATAATTTCTTAGTTTACAACCGTGCAACATCCTTTCATCATCTTTTAACTTGTTAGTGTTGCAAGATGTAAGCAATACGATACACATGATTTGATAGTCAAATCAATGTCCTTGTAAATCAAGCGTCTCATCCAATACGTTTCACTCTTTCCAATCATGAACCGAATTCTCTGCTTCTCATTGCAACTCCTATTATTCTCCATCTCTTGTCTTATAATCTGCCTCAAATCAGCTAAAAACAAAAAATTAATTCGACAAAATTCTGAGCAGTATAACAACATATTTGAAAAGAGGAAAAAAAAAACCTTTTTTTACTGACCAAAAGAGAAAGAACTTCTACCTACAACAATTTCCAAAAACTTTGAACCATTAGAAAGGATTATCAGGCTCATAAATATAGAAGTACAATTTTAAGAAATAAACAACGAAATAAAATACTTTTTTTATGGATGATAATTAAAGGAGTATGGCTGATAGCGATAGAATCAACTTTTTGATTCATTTCTTCTTTGCAACATTTTCTGCAAAAGCCATAAATTTCTATCGGAGCTCTTTTGAGGCAATATTATAAAGTACTACCTTTCATTTTTTTCCTGGAAGTATTTAGAAGTAAAATTAGTTAATATTGCTTAGCAAAGGACAGGGTTGCAATGACGAACCGATTAGAACATTTCTTTTGGCAATCCTATTTACAAAGTATTTGACAAGTAGTTCTCTAGAGAGGTCATTATCACATCTCTCGACATTCCATTCATGGAAACTCATGAAATAATATATTCTTATCGGAGAGGAAGAGCAACATAAATTGGTTCATAATTTAATTTCAGTTTTATAAACAAAATTCAACAGCTCAGACAACCCAATATGTAAAATTCTATTTGTCACGATCCAAAATTCCAACCCATCGTGATGACTCCTAACACATTACTAGGCAAGCCAACAATCACATAACGGCTACACCATTTGAATTAAAACATAATTTAATAAGCTAAACAGTGGAAAGTCTCATAAATATCTTATAAAGACAACTGTAACTCTACTACAACCATCCCAAAATTCTGGTGTTACCGAGTGCATGAGCTACTAAGTGTCAACATAGTCTAAAACTCTAGTATAATTATTTGAGAAAATAGAACAGTATTGAATAAAATAAAAGGAAGGAGAGTCAAGGTCTACGGGCATCATAGCAGTTACCTCAAAGTCTCCGAACAGGTACTAGCATCAAATCTAGCAATCACCGTGTCCAGATGTACCTGGATCCGCACACGAAGTGCAGATTGTAGTATCAATACAACCAACCCAATGTACTCAATAAGTAACGGATTAACCTTGAGCTGAAAGCAGTGACGAGCTTAGAAGGATACAGTCAGAACCAAAATAATGACAACACGGATATAGTAAAGAGAATGACAGTAATAACTCAGAGAAACTTCTATATTTAGCTCGTTCATAGTACATAAATTTAGGCATATTTTCAAGTTCAACAATTTAAGCCCAACACTGATAAAATATGTCAAGTACAGCTAGCATGAGGAATGTTACGTTTCTATGCATACATGTCAAATAGGCATGTTAAATGTAATGTATCATAGTGATAATCCCAGGACTCACACTCTCAGAATACTCAATCTGGCTATCTCAAATTTTCACTCATCACACACAATCACTCAGCACTGTACGGGTGCCTGAAATCAATGCCCCTCACCAAAGCCCATGTACATGAATCACTG